GCTGGAAGGTCCCATCATGGTTTGGTCTGATTCCTGTGGATTCAGTCTCATCTTCAGAGAGAAATGTGTGAGATTTCCTAATGCCCAGTGTCACGTCTCTGGGGTAGAAGCCAGTGGCCACACAGGTGAGTTTCAGCTTGGATTTGTCTTTGATAGATCTTTTTGCAAACACATGAACAGTTGGAGAAGCTGAAAACACAGAAATCAGTTTATCAGTCTCATCCTCATAACAGCTGCATATCATCAAATAAATACAAAAACATTTACTCACAGCCGTGTCTGAGCTCCTTGTCTCCATATTCTCTGAATTTGTTGAGCCAGTCTACACACTCTTTCTCCAGGTAGCCTTTGGTGTACTGGTTTAGGATGAGCACACTGTCCCATTTTCTCTTGGTTGGTAGAGCTGCTTCAACTAAAGCGACCCACTGAGAAACTGCAATATCAAAAGAAATAAAGTCCTCTCCATCATAGGTGTACTCACTAATGCCTTTGGAAAACGCAAGTTCACTTCCCTGCTGCTCAACTTCACAACCGTGTCTCCACTGAAGAACATGAAGATCTGAAGCAGACACAAATCAGAATGACTGTGTGAGATGATGATAATATAAATCCACTGATCATCTGTATATGCTGGTTAAACTGTAAGAATGTTCCTCACCCGATTCATTTTGTCTCATGCGTTTCATCAGAATGTCGATATTCACATTAAACCACTGTTCTTTGCTCTTTCTGGACTGGGTGCCTTTTTCCCAGTAATCCTCCTGCATTTTCTCCTTCATCCAGGTCTGTTTGGGAATCTTCTTCTGTTCCTCACTATTGTAATAGTCGATCTGTATGTCATCTAGCAGACCCATAGCAGTGAACTGATAGATGCCCGGCAGATCGACAGGTTTGGACAAAGCCGTGTAAATGTAATACAGCGAGTGCTTCTCTGCAGTAAAGAGCAATGAAATATGAATGTAAAACTATTCACTAGATTATAGGTGAGTAAAGTGAAGGAGAAAGCAGTGACAGTTTTTCTCGATTTCTAACACACTATATCTGATTCAATTTCCCAAACCAGTGCTCTGAAGGAAGACATTTATTTTTCTCTGACCTTTAAAAGACCTGTTTTCTCACACGCTCCAATTTAGTGTAATTTTTGTTCTATGCATGGAAAGACCATGTGGAAAGTGTGCCTACAGTCTCATCTACAGGGTTTTTACACTACTTAAACATACAGTATAATGACAGTTTATTGCAGCAGTACTTTAGATGAGAGAACCATCCAGGCATGTGCACACATAGACATCAAAGGGGGCTTGAGCACCTGCCCTTTTTCTTCCTCGAGAGAAAGTGGCCTTTTTTCTGGGGATTTTTTTTATTTTAATAAATTGTGTGCGTGTGTGTGTGTGTTTCTGTTTGCGCACAGCTGTCCCTGTCAAACAAATAAAAAATCAAAATATCAGGTCGGGTCAGGAAATGTTGAGACTGTCTCCCTCCGCGTCTCCGCAGCACAGCAGTGTAGCACACATTGATCAGCTGCACATCACAGACAGATAGACAGAGAGCCGCAGAAGTGAAGCTGCGGTAAAGAGCAATGAAATATGATCCCTCCCTTTCCAGTTGTGTTTGTCTTGCTCTGGAGGTGAGTGGTGATGAACAACAGACTAAGTTACCTGTGCCCCGAATTTACAGCTAATTATCCTGTCCATGACTCATGAGAGCTAACAAGTTAGCTAAAGTTTAATTAAGGCAATAGGAAGTCTATTAGGTTAGACCAGTGCAGGTTCTTTCACTGCATGATTAAGTTTATTAAAATGCATTTAAAATGATCACAAAATGCAACATATGGGGGCAGAAATGCATTTATATCATTTCATATAGTTAATCAGTATCACAGGAAGACTGGCTTTTTTCCACCAAAAAGCAGCATGATTACAAATGTGAAATATTGATTTTATACAGCAGTTCAACAAACAAGAATTTAATATTAAGACACTAACGTTTTAAACACAATATTGACTGTTTTTGCTCTATTTCGCCGACAAATATAATTTCAATTTGTGTCGCTGAGCAACATGATGTGTTTTGTTCCTGAGTGAATCAATCGTTTAAATGATTCAGTTCAGTCGCAATGACTCACTTATTAACAGTGACTTGCTGCCACCTACTGACAGTTTTAATTTCACATTTAAAGTATCTTTTCATATATTTTTTAAAAATAATTTCAAATTTCAGTATTTAACGTTTTATGTTTAAAATATCAAAACAGTATTAATGCATTTGTAACTGCAGGTTAAATACATTCATGTCCTGCATTAAACAGTGTGTAAATGCATCAATGTCCCTTCAGCTTCTGTGTTTTCTCTGCATTGCAAAGATGAATTTTGTCAATACTGATTTTGGACTGGTAACAGCCCGAATGACTTATTATTCTAATTGATTGATTCAGTTTAAGAATTTAACTGAAAAGATGATGCACACTTTTAGAAAAAAAGGCTTAAAGGTAAAAATGCTCATAAAAGGTAAAAATCAATTTAAACTTATTGGAAAAGATTAATTTATATAACTGCTGTGAACTAATCACCACACAGAATATGCAGAATATCAAAAACTTTAGGAGTCAGCTGTCCACGGTAGTCCTTAAGATATCAGCACAATAACACACTCAGCAAAATATCATCTAATTATTGTTCTCTACAATATTGCACACCCCTAATATATTTAATGTTTTGTTCAGAAAAAAATGAAAATAAATATGAGAACTGCCCTTTTTTCCACTTGAGCCCCTGCCCCTCAAAACATCCCAGGAACAATCATGGAGGATAAGATTGTGTCCATTTATATGTAGATTTACTAGATTTCTCTTCATTTCTATAGGGTGACCATACATGCTTTTTTTTCCAGGACATGTCCTCTTTTTTGACCTAAAAAAAAAAAAAAAAGGCCAATCCGGCTTTTGCTTTATACAGTTTTTATATTGCCCTGTGCTGGACTGTTTTCTTAATCCCGCTCCCGCACAAAACACACACAAAACATCTGCAACGTTTTTACTGGAAGGTTAGTTTATATGGTTATAAAAAAATAGGCTGGAACGTTTTATCTATAGCCTGTTATATATACTTTTTTTGCATATGAAGTTAGCATGCATTTCTTCTCAAACTGAATTACTTTCGTTACAAAGACGTTTTAAATCTTGTTACTTTCAGTTACGTTATTCTCTGATAAATGCAGAAACTTTAAATCATTTACCTGCTTGAAGTATAGGAGGAGTGCCATAAAGAAGAAAAACACAAAGCAGAGCAAAGATCTTCGTCGCCACACTCGTTCCCATGACTGAAAGCCTTTAAATGTGTAAATCTGACTAATTACTCATTTTTAAATCATTGAAAGCAAAAGCTCTCAGCAACAGAAAACTAGTCACAGAAAATAGCGGTTGATGTTTTAACCAATGAGAAAACAAAACGATTACATCATGTGTATCTGGGAAGAAGTGGAGAGGCTTAACCCACATAAAGTGTTTTAGTCAGTCAGTGTTCAATGAATAAATACATTTATCATAAATTTACGCATTAAACAATTCTTTCACAAAGTTATAGTACGTTAGATGTTGACGGCAATATGGCCAACAGTTCAATGTTCAATAAATAATTTTAAAAAAGTTATAAATGATAATATTAAAATAAAGAAATAAAAAAAAATCTTCTGCCAAGTTGTAAGGTTTGTTAGTTGGTTCATTTTATTTGTTCTCAAAATGTTTACACATAGGTATGTATTCAGCAATCAAGTGCAAAACTCTTGGCACGATTCTAGCAACAAGCAATTTGTAAACACTTGTTTATTCACATAGAGTTCATAATTTGAGGTAGTTTAACCATTGTCACTTTTAGTATGGCTAAAGGTCACACAAAATGATATTCAAACTCACATAGACACTTCTAACATTAAATAAAGCACAATCAGCACCTGAGATCATTGTCATAGTTTGTATGCTGTCGTTCTGGCCTTGATGTTGCAGAAATAGAAAGTAGAAACGTTGCAAATGACCATCATGAATGGATACGACAAAAACAACAAAACAGTACAAAGAAATAGCATTTAAGAATAAACAGATTACAGACCAATAACAGGCAGACATCCGCTGATACCATAAATTAATTTGATATATTTAAATTTTAATTTTGTAATTATATAAATGAAGTCAGTGTAAAAGAACAAAATTAATCAACAAATGTATATACAGAAACAGTATTTCACAGATTAAGACATTCAAGAGTATATAAGGCAATATTTTATAGAGTACACAGGATAATTATTAGGATATGCGATCATTTCGCAAGTATGCTCTGGTTTATTTTTATTGCCACTTAGATTTAAAATATTAGAAACGCTGTAAGTGTGTCCAGTCTGACCCTTTAGAGGTAGAATAATAGTAAGATTGGAAAACCCGGGGCTTGTAAAATTGTGTTTGTACCCGGGCCCCAGCTCTCTTCATATAAAAATATTTTTCTTTGAGAACTTGGTATAAAAACATCAATGGCTCGAGCAAAGTGCTTCAAAGCGCTTCTGTCTTCATGCAGCTAATGTTGCACTGTTTCTATTTGCCCTGAATGTTTCTTATTGCACTTTTTTTTCTGTAGCGTTGTTACATGTGTAAACATACCTTGCGCAAGTGCGTAATACATATACTGTAAACATATATGTATATGTATAGTTTGATTATTCTTTGTCTATGTAGCACCGTGGTCCTGTGAGGCACATGTCGTTCCTTTGTATGCCTCTACATACAGCAAAATAACAATTAAACTCACTTGACTTCAAAAAAATCCAGAGGCAGAAAGGGAGAGAATCAACTATTTACAACTCCCCAAAATATAATGTTTGTCAGGATTATTAGTGTTGACAATGACAATTACCACCCATCTTTCATTACAAATCCTCCTCTAACTTTGGATCAGCTTTGACCTCTTGTGGTTGTAGTGGTGGTTTTGTTTCTGTAGACTCTATAAATCTGTTACTGGAGTCCTAATACTAAAACACAGACATAAATAGTTATTTAATTATTTATTGGAAGTAGTAATGTAAATGATATTTAACTTGTGCTACACTATAGCCTGTGGAGAAACAGAAGTGTGTCAAAACTCACTGATATTCCATTTAAAATATACTTACCACATATTGAAGATCCACAGAGCTGTTCGAACCGGAATTTGATGTTTCAGCAGTTGTCGTCTGTCCTGTTGGAGAAACAGTGAAATGTGTATCTATAGTGCTTTGGTATGAATCCACTCAAAAACTGCCTGATAAATAATTAAAGCAATTGCTTAAGATAGCATCTGTTGTTGTCAGACTCTGTTCCATGTTTTGTGTGTGTCTTGCTCCCCATGTGCCTTCCTATGCCCTTATTTGGTTAGTTTACTGTTCCTGTCCTGATTAAGTTCATTTGTCCCAGGTGTTTCCCTTGATGTTTCATTGCTCCCAGGTGTGTCTCGTCATCCCCTCCTCCCTCCTGTATTTAAAGTGTTCCCAGTCCCTAGTTCTCTGTCCGCTGTTAAACGTCTTCCTGAGTTCGTCTCCCTTGGTTCCTGGAATTAAAGTCTTGTTAAAGTATTCTCCAGCGTCTCCTCGTTCCTCGAAGTGTATTGTGACAGAACAGCGGATCAAAACTGAAAGTGAGCGGCAACTTTTTCCTCGCGTTTGTTCCCCCCCCCCCGCGGCGATGGAAATTGCCGCTCGCGTCGCCGCCCTAGCTCGCCTCGATCTCCCCTTCTACGAGTACGCCCGGGAGTTCTGCAAGCTCGCTGAGGTGACGGCGTTAGGGGACGCCGTCCTCAATCAGCTGTTCTGGCTCGGGGCCAACTACCATCGCCCCGTGGACCTCCCAGACACCACGGGACTAAGTTGGAGGGAAGGTGTCTACCGGCTCCAGGCCCTGAATACAACCCCCTACATTTCTCCAAGTGTTTTTTTTTTGGGGGGGGTACTATGGCCTCCCGAGTCCCCTGCTCCGCCATGGCCTCCCGAGCTCCTGTGTGTATTTAAAGTGTTCCCAGTCCCGAGTTCTCTATCCGCTGTTAAACGTCTTCCTGAGTTTGTCTCCCTTGGTTCCTGGAATTAAAGTCTTGTTAAAGTATTCTCCAGCGTCTCCTCGTTCCTCGAAGTGTATTGTGACAGTTGTATGGTTTAGCTAGGATTCTTCAGAATTATCTGCAGCTGCATTCAGTTCAGTAGCTTGTTCTGGAAAACCACAATAATATCAAGCACAAAGGCAGTGCTATGCTCAGAAATTATATTTAATACAAATTTAATATAGCTGAATAAATATCTAAATAGGAGTCATGTTCAGAGTCAGATGAGTTAGTGTCTGATTAACTTTGGATCATTGGGAAAAAAAAATCAACATAATCTACATTGTGCATAAGACTGATTAGATATTTAGATTATATGTATCTTTTTTTTCTGAGAAACTCCAGCATTCTCTTGAGCTAGCCTACTATATGTCCATATTAATTTGGACATATTCGAAAAGAGCGTTTTCATTTGAAATCACGCTCCATCCCCACTTAAGTGTCTTACAAAAGTCCACACTGAAATGTACTTCGCAAAACTTAAAAGCTCAATCAGTTGATACCGAGAGACCAGACAAAATAAAATTATCATGTTGTTCTTCTGGAACAATCATTTTAATAGCAAAATATCCCACCATTCACTGGTGCATCCCAGTATTGCTCAAAATCGATATTCGGTCTAAAATTAAACTGTCAAGTTTTGCAGCAGGATATGAGATATAAGGTCACTTGCCTGAAGTTTCTAGTGATCCCGAAGACATTGAGGTGTGTTTAATTAGGGTTTGTCTAAGGCTGGGTAATATGGCCAAAAAATTATCACAATAAAATTGTTCATATCAGTCAAAACTGCATGATAATGATAACTGTCAAATCCTAATTTCTTTCAAGTTTAAAGGTAGATGTCTTCTCCTGAATGAAAATTAATTGAGGTTTTAAATGAATCTTTTTGTCGGAACATGACAGTAATCAAAACACATTTAGAATAAATATTTGCACTTATGCTATAGCTCAACAACAACCATTACTCCTTTGATACATTTAATACATGTCTACATTAATGATATAATAAAATTCCATATGTACTGTATAACCCACATTTCATGCCACAATACCATGGTGCAGTTAGTGTTACTACAGTAAATCCATGGTAACACCGTGTCTACACCGGACGCGAGCGGCGCGGCGCGACAAAATACGATAGAACTCATTATAATCAGTGATGCTGTCTACACTGGATGCGGCACGGCGCACCACGACAAATCCCCGACAGTAAACTGCTGCCGCATTCTATTAATGACGTATTTATGATGATGATTTTCAACGGTCGCTTTGTCGCGTCCAGTGTAGACAGACTTTAGCTGTTGCGGTGCGACACGACAACTGTCGCGTCCGGTGTAGACACGGTGTAAGTCCATGTAAAAGCCTTCTAACGTGATTGTTCATGGCACTGTGTTTCTTGTGTTTGTCAGCGCTGTTGAGAACGTCACTGCTGTTTCATCTGGCCTTCACCGAGACATTTGTGCACCATATTTGTTGTAACTGACAGGAGTTTACTAACAACTTTATTCTCTTCCGTAGAGCTGCTTTACATCAGATCTTGGGTTTGCCTCATATTTGAAGTTTGCATCATAGATTCTGTGATTTTCATGTTTAATATTGTGAAGCAGCTTTCAAACGGATTGTATTGAATAAATCGCTACAGAAATATAGGTGACTTGACCACTGATCTAAAGGGACAGTTCACACAAAAATCTAAATTCTGTCATTATTTTCTCATTTCATGCTATTACAAACGCCTAAGACTTTGCTTAGTCTTCCAAACACAAATTAACATATTTGTAATAAAACCTCAGAGTTTAGTCCCTCCACTGAAGACTGAGTGGTTTAATTCAAGTCTTGTGAAGAGATACGGTCACTTTATATGATGAACTGATTTTTAGACTTTTATTCACATACAAAACACACATACACTGAGAGCTTCACATATGGTAAACATGGAAGCTTGTTTGTTTGTTGGTTTTCATGCAACATGCACAGATGAGAACCAATGAGGTTTGTTCTATGATCTATCTTAACTTGTGTTTGGATGAATAACCAAAGTTTGAATTAAGTTTTGAAAGGGTTTGGAATGACAGGAGGGTGAGTAAATTATGGCAGAATTGTCTTTTTAGGTTCATTCATTCGTTCATTCATTCATTCATTGCTTGTCCTACGTATACAAAACCGAAATCAAGAACTTGTGGATCACCATCAGTCACTATACTCACCAATAATCCCTTTCTTCTTTAAGATGTAAACCACTACACCAGCGACTGTTATCAGGAGCACAAGCACACCTCCAGTCACTACTGCAATCATAGCTAGGTCAATCTCTGGTGGGCAATCCTGGCAATTTCCACCTGTATAAATGCAAAGAGATAAAAATAGTTATAATTAATTAAGGATGTCACAAGCAAAAAAAGGGGGAAATAAAAGTTCACTATTTATAATTTCTTTTTATTCCGGTATCAAGTGATGTTTCTGTCTGTATGTGTATCTGTTTTAATTACCCCATTCGATGATAATTGGTTCTTTGAGGGTTCTGTGAGCAACAAAACAATCATAATTAGCTTTTTCATTCTCCTGGATCTCCACACTCTTCTTCAGCTGGAAGGTGCCATCATGGTTTGGTCTGATTCCTGTGGATTCAGTCTCATCTTCAGGCAGAGATGTGCGATATTTCCTAATGAACAACACTGTGTCTTTGGGGTAGAAACCAGTGACCATACAGGTCAGCTTGATTTTGTCGCTGGTAGACCTTTTTGCAAACATATGAACATCTGGAGGAGCTGTAAAAAACAGGAATCAGTTCATTAAACAGTTCTATCTCTAAAACAGCTACAAACCATCAAACAAATACTAACACGTTTACTCACAGCCATTTCTGAGCTCATTTTCTCCATATTCTGTGAATTTCTCGAGCCAGTCCACACAATTTTTTCCCAGGTAGCCTTTGGTGTATTGGTTTAGGAAGGGCATATTGTCCCATTTACTCTTGGTTGGTAGAGCTGCGTAAACTGGGGCGACCCACTGAGACTCTCTATCATCAAACGACAGAAAGTTTTCTCCATCATAGCCGTACTCATAAACGCCTTTGAAAACTTCACTTCCCCATTGCTCAACTTCACAACCAGTTCTCATCTGAAAAACATGAAGATCTGAAATGAGAAGAAAAAATTTTTGTAAAATGATAATATTATAATTCAGATGATGTACATGCAGGTCAATCTGTAAGAATGTTCCTCACCTGATTCACTGTGTCTCATGCGTTTCATCAGAATGTCGATATTCAGATTAAACCACTGTTCTTTGCTCTTTCTTGACTGGGTGCCTTCTTCCCAGTAATCCTCATATAGTTTCTCCTTCATCCAGGTCTGTTTGGGAATCTTCTTCTGTTCCTCACTATTGTAATAGTCGATCTGTATGTCATCTAGCAGACCCATAGCAGTGAACTGATAGATGCCCGGCAGATCGACAGGTTTGGACAAAGCCGTGTAAATGTAATACAGCGAGTGTTTCTCTGCAGTGAAGAGCAATAAAATGTGCATTAAATAACTATTCACTGAAGTGTAAATGTAAAAGTTGCATGCTTCTGAAGAAGAGTCTCAAAACATTTCAGATACAGAAAGAAGCAAATAGACAGAATCTCAATATATGAATCTAGACCTGTTCTCTGAGAGACATTACTAGTCAAAATCCCAAATCTGAAGGCAATCCTAATGATATCAGACAAGATCAGATTCTAGATCAGCTAAAGTCTTTCTGTAAATTCATTCGAGACTGCTCAAACTTAATCCTGATTCAACTGTAATAAATTACTAATAAAATAATTAACATGTAAATAATTAATGTAGTAAAATAATTAGTTGTATAAATATACACCTATATAAACATACTTTATTATATACGATTTGTAATCAAATTTCAATTATGTCGCTACCGCGTCGTTTAAGACCAGTAAACGAGTTACTTTCACTTTCATTCTCTGCTGAACGCAGTACAAGTTAATAATTTACCTGCTTGTATTGGAGTCCAAAAAATACGAAAAACACAAAGCAGCACAAAGATTTTGTCGAAACCCGTGGCCATTATTAAAAAGCTATGTGTGTTACTCTTGTTTACATCGTTGCTTCATCGACGCATAAACGCAGAAACTGCCAACAGCAGAATGACGTTTTAATCAGTGATCTGAATCCGCATCTGGGCGGAAGTGACGCAAGACTGAACCAACAGGTCTTAGATTTTTATGAAGCCTTCGACACAGTGGAGCATGCTTTTATTTTTAGGTCATAAAAAATTGGGGTTTGGAGATTTCTTCTCTAAATCTATGCAAACAATGTATACGAATGCAAACATGTTGTTCTGTTAAACTTAAAGGAGGTTCATTTTCTAGGTTTTATTTAAAACGTGGTGTCAGACACGGCTGTCCCATTTCCCCTTACCTTTTTGTTTGTTTGTTTGTTTGTTTGTTTTGTCATCAGCTTATGAATATTTATGTTAGACCAAGCCTCTTAAAAGGTATATCTGTAGCGGGAAGGCATATAATCATATCCCAGCTAGCAGATGCCCACTGTGTCAGAGTCCATCTGCTGTCAGGAGGCTGATCTGGACCATGTATTGCGTGGTCAATCCTGCATCCTGGTGCGCACATGTAGCATACTATGCCTTGGAAATGGACATGTTGGACGTGGCCGTGCTTGTCAGAGTGGAAACACTGTAGCGTCCTGTTAACAGCAGGAAAGCTAATTGTATTTGCAGGTGAACATAAAATATGTTACATACCACTACTGGTGAATGAGCCAGTGTAATGTGAAATAATATATGTAATATAATGTAGTGCAAATATGTCTGAAAGGACTGACAAAACAATAAGATGCAACATGAACAATTAAAAACAGAGCAACTTCAGGCTTTGTTGGTGCGGCGAATGACTAAATTGCCAGACTCAATGTAATCTTCCTCCAAAAAATTTTCACTGCATACTATTTTACAATTATTAAGTCATTATTTACATTATCATTATGAACAGAAAAGTTGATTGAAACAGATGAATAAATGTCCATCGCCACACAGCCTGGAGTGGTTTATTACATTTAAAAACAGCAATTATCAATTTATGATCATTCAGAATAAACAGTTCTTCTGCCAAGTAGTAGAGTTTGATAGCTAGTTGTTTTTATTTGTTCTCAAAATGTTTACAAATAAGACATACTGTAGGTGGGTAGTGTGTAGCCTGTTCATCTGTCAAGTGCAAAACTCATACAGGAACATTTAATATACAGAATAGCAGACGTTGATATCATATTGTAGCATCTTTGATACAATTACATCACCAAGCAATTTGTAAACACTTGTTTGTTCCCATAGAGTTCATAGTTTGAGGTAAATTAATTTTAGTTTTCAGTATGGCTATAAAGGTCACACAAAATTATATTCAATCTCACATTAGATGCTTTTAACATTAAATAAAGCACATAATCAGCACCTGAGATCATCACCGTCATAATTTGTATGTTTTTCCAGTGGCGACATTGTAGAAAATGAAACTGTTTATAATACAGTCAACTCGTTGCAAACCTCTGTCGCAGCTGGATATGACAAAAACAATTAAACAGTACAAAGAAGCAACATTTAAGAATAAATAGATCTCACACCAATAACAGACTGACATCAGAAAAACATAAATAAATACAGAAACAATATTTCACCTGGAGCATACAGGATACTTATTAGGATATGAGGTCATTTCTCAAGTATGTTCTGTTTTTTAGGGGTTCAAGCACGCAGTGCTGAAACCCTATTGTAATTGTTAGAATTTTTTTTTATTATTATTATTTTTCTCCGCTAAAACTGATCGTGCAGACCAAACCGTAAGGCGCAGAGAGATGAAACTTGGCCAGAAGGTAGAGCTCCCTGAGGGGACATTCTGACAAAGACTCACCCCAATCGGCCAAAGGGGGGCGCTACAGCGCAAAAAAATAAAATATTAACGTTAGCCAAAATTTATTTGAAGCATAACTCTTGAACGGAATGAGATATCTTCACCAAACTCGGTACACATATGTAGGAGCTCAATCTTTGGTCAGATAAAAAAAATTGCGCTGCTTTGCCACTTGGGGGTGCTATAAGACAGAAAAAACATAAATTCAGCTATAACTAGGCAACCGTTGGTCCGATCGGCTTGAAAATTGGTATGCAGTGTCATTGTCCACAGTGGCACAAGTGTCTATGAGGACATTCACGTATCTCAAAAAACATGGCCGCCATTGGCCAAACTCTTTTAAGCACCTATTTGACAGGGTTAACGGAGGTCGATCGGAACGAAACTCGGTGTGGGACTAATGCTGTCAATCAAATCGTTCATTAAATATTCTCAATTATGTCAAAAACCTACTTTTGCGAACTAGTCATAGGTTTTTCACGCAATCTCAATCAAACCACTGCAGCGCAATTCTCGGCACTCTCTAGATCAATAATTATAAAAAAAAAAAATTATTTTGTCTTTTGGCTATCTATAACGGGGTCATTTATAAAAGAGGTGTGGCCACACATACCCAAAAGCCTATAAAACCTAAATGAAAACTCAAAACTTTACGAAACTTGGTGAAAACATGTGACAGAAGACACTTAACAAGCATGCAAAGTTTCACAGAGATCTGACCATAGGTGGCGCTATAACAGTCATAACTGTTAGAAATCATCATATTTCTTTGGTAAATTACCTGCATTTGCCCAAAATGCTATTTTTAATCATTGATTTAAGTGGTTACAGCCATGTTAACAAAATCTTTTTCCTTATGTGCTTAAATGCCTTAACTGCTTGAACCCCGGTCATTGCTGCTTGCAGCTATATTTTATTATTATTATTGGCACTCAGATTTAAAATATTGAAATCGCTGTAAGTGATTGCAGTCTGGCCCTTTAGTAAGTCTGGAAAACTAGCTCTCTTCATATAAAAATATTTTCCTTTGAGTACTTGGTATAAAAACATCAAAACATATGTGCTTTAAAGTGCTTCGGTTACATCTTCATGTCCTAAATGTCATCTTGCACTGTTTCCATTTGCCCTGATATTTAAAATACAGTTAGCCGGTGGCTCACTTCCTCCATAAAGCTACTCACACTGCATTCTGATGGTTTACCAGAAAACCTCTCCTTCTGTGGGAGAAAGAGTGAAATGTCCACAGTGATGTGGTACAATCTACTTAAAATTTGCCTAGTAAATGCCAAAAAATTAGCTAAATCATACCAGTAAATTCTGTAGATAATCTGACTGATTAAATATTAGGATTACTGGTACCATCTTGTGGAGGAATTGCAGCATTCTGATGTTCAGGTTCTTGTGAGTTTGTTCTTTTGTAAGCTAAAGGATGTGACGGATATAACTATTTTTGAATACTCTTTGCACTCTATTTTTATTTTAATGTAAATAAAATTAACAATTATCTAAAACTCATGCCAAAAACACAGAGAACAGGCAGTCATCACACAGAAAGGCTCAGCTGGGACTCAAATCAAAGACCCCCACTGTGAATTATTCCTTTACATCACAAAACTGAAAACTGGAATGTGTGGATCATCATAATCTGTCACTACTCATCAATAATCCCTGTCTTCTTTAAGATGCAAACCACTAAATGAACAACTACCAGCACAAACGCACCTCCAATCACTGCTGCAATCAAACCTGTGGCAGTCTCTAGGCAGACAGTGTGAGGATCTAGAAAAATACAAAAGTAGTTTTAATTGAGGATATCCTTAAGCCATATTGCGATTTCGGTTTTATTTCCATTAATCGTGCAACCCTAACCAATTCAACGCACTATAATCTTTCAAAAGCATGTTTTCAATTTTATTTTGTTATTTAGTAACATCTATATCCACAAAATCAAAATGTTGTCATCAGACCTGTATTCTGTATTTGTTTCCAGTGGAACTCAAAAGAAGACCTCTCAGGGTGAGTGTAATGACAGAATTTTCTTTTTTGGGTGAATTGTACATTTATTTATTCATTCACTCACTCAACCAAACAGTTACTACTCACCAATAATCTCTCTTTTTTAAGATATAAACTACTAAAGCAATGACCGCCAGCACAAGTAAACCTCCAATCACTGCTGCAATCAAACCCGGGAAACTCTGTCAGGCGGTCATAAATAGGGGTCATCTATAGAGATGCACAAAAACAAATACAGCTTTAATTATTTAAGGATTTCACAAGCAAAAAAAGAGAGGAAATGTATCTACATGTAATTGCATTAATTGTGTCATTGGGTAGTTGGATATTTGAATATATGTTATGTCTGCAAAGTATCATTTTAATTAAGTAAACTAGAGATACAGTAAAAGGCCCCAATAATGGTCACAATCTACAAACCTTAAAGTTTCCTTCAAAATGCAAAACTTTTGACCTAAAAGCCAATAAATCATCTAGTTTCCTCAGAGTTGTTTGCATAACCAGAGGTTCCACAATCATTTACAAAAGCACTCTTTATCATCTTTATCACAAAACAAATTACAACTTGCAGTAGATTTTATGTGCAACATTAAGAGCAGATAGCAGGCAAAAATTATCTAGAAAATGAAAACTAGAGAGACATAGGAACAAAAAAACATTTAGGGCTTAAGCCCCAGTAACCTACACTCTTAAAAATAAAGGTGCTTCAAAAGGTTCTTCACAGCAACGCCATAGAAGAACCATTTTTGGTTCCACAAAAAACCATTCAGACAAAGGTTCTTTAAAGAACCATCTCTTTCTTACCTTTTTGTAATCTGAAGAACCTTTTTTCACCACAAAGAACCTTTTGTGAAACAGAAATGTTCTTCAGATGTTAAACGTTCTTTATGGAACCATTTAGACAAAAAGGTTCTTTTATGGCATCGTGAAGCACCTTTATTTTTAAGAGTGTACCCCAGGTAATAATTGTTTCACTGGGAACTGTGGGTCACAAAATAACTATATTCTGCTTTTTCATTCTCCTGGATCTCCACACTCTTCTTCAGTTGGAAGGTCCCATCATGATTTGGTCTGATTCCTGTGGATTCACTCTCATCTTCAGGCAGAGATGTGCAATATTTCCTAATAATCAGTGTCACGTCTTTGAAGAAGCTGGTGGCCATACAGATGAGTTTCAGCTTGGATCTGTCACTAATA